TCTAGTGATCTAGGTGTCGTTTTTGTTATTTGACATTTTGACACGCTGCGTCGCGTGGGGCGCAAACGGCGCAAACTCGCAAAGGCGAAGCGGAGGGCGGAGGGCGAAAGGTGTGGTGGAAGCAGCACATAAAATTGCAGGAGCCATGAGCAGAAAGCAGAAGCCATATGCGCATGCGCTATGGTATCCGTAAAGCTCTAAACAGATACCATAGCGCATGCGCATATGCCTTCTGCCTTCTGGGGATCGATCATGTATCTTTTCCCCTAGGACGGAACGTGAAAAGTGAAAAGTTTATCTCTTTCTATTCAATACCAATAGAAAGAAATAGTTACATGAAATTTTTCACTTTTCACGTTTCCGCTCTAGGGAAAAAGTTACATGATCGCTACCCTGCTCATGGCTCCTGCAATTTTATGTGCTTCCACCTTTAAGCCAATGGTGTTTCTTTCGCTGATTGGCTCCGCCATTTCCCGATCAGCGCTGCCGGTTCTTTAGTGGAAGTGAGACAAAGCTATAAGTGGGAGTGAGACAAAGATATAACATACTTCACGATGGTCCGTCTTTTATCGATAAGACGTTAGTGGGAGTGAGACAAAGCTACGAACTCTAGACGATTGTAGCTTTGTCGGCAACTTTGTCGCTGTCGCTATCGCCTATTGTGCAAGGGGCTTTAAGCCAATGGCCTAGTTTACACCAATCACTTGATACGCGTATTAAATAGTAAATAACTAGTAAATAAGGCTGATTATTGGCTGATCAGTTCAAATATACTATTTGATACGCGTATCAAGAGATCGGTGTAAACTAGGCCAATATCGGCCGGAAGTTTTGAAAACGCCATTTCCCTATCAAACCACGTGACCAACTTGATACGCGGAATTTTCAAATTGCTGAAACTTCAGTTTGTATATTAAAGCTGGGTTCCGATATTCACTGTCAATACCGAAAATCTATAGTGTAGGTTAGTTACGTAAACTATAGATTTTCAGTACACGCACTTTATTTTAAACAGTATTATTAAGATTTAAAACATATCAGTAGTATTTATTTCAAGTTAGAATATTTTATAATTGCTGAATACTTTATATATTATTAATTGATATGATAACAACCTGTCAAATGTTTTGAAAAACCGGAAGTGCTAATCGGGAAATGGCGGAGCCAATGACTCGACGTCCGATCCGATCAGCCGCTTCCGGGTGAAACGCGCGCACGTTTTTTAAAAACCGAATCAGCCCGTTTCGCGTCAATCGCGTCTTGACGTCTACGCGAGGCATCGATTCCTCGCCTCCGTCTCGCGACGAGCCGCCGTAAATTATTGAAAGGAGTCTCTACAGCGTGTCGATATCGCGTATCGCGTTTCGTTGACGTTCGAGGGGCGCGCCGATTTTCCGCGGCGATTTCACTCGCGCCGATCGCGCGCGCGCGCGACGACAGCTCTCTTCCGTCGTCCTGTCGTCTTTTATTACCTTCCTTCTCGCGGACGGATCCGATTGGGTTCGCGCGGCGATCGTCCGTTATTCGCATATCCTCCCTCGCCTCGGTCGTGTTGTAAAAGTACCGTTGTGCATACATACATATACGTGTATTCACGCGCGCGCGTGCTTCCGCGTGTGTCTGTGTCTGTGCGACGACGACAATCGTGCGGATCGTGCGCTCTGCACCTCGCGACAGCCGACAGCCTCGGCCGTATCGGCGCGGAGTAGCGAAGCGGAGTCAGCTGCGGAACTGTGCGGATTGCGGAACCGCCACCGCCACCGTCCGTTTTCCCTGCTTTTTCCCGGTTTTCCCCGCATGGGCCGCTCGCTCCTCCGCCACGGTTTTTCACGCGAGAATGCAAGAGAATCGCGGTAGAACGTGAAGACACGTCTGCTCCCTCCGCGAGGAAGGTACGGACGGCGGAGAGGACGTGCGCCCGCCCGCGAACAGGCCGCGGTTATGTTTCTCGATGGAGAGCGCTTTGACGACAATGGCAGCAACGTCCCCGTCGAAGGTACGTCGGAGGTTTTCCATCTTCTTTTCTTTTTCTTCGCGTGATTCCCGGGAACGCGAGTGAGACGGCGGATCGTCAGCGAAGGAAATCGGGAATGAAAAAATGGAAAGACCGAAGGAGGGAGAGAGGGAAAGAGAGAAAGGGCATTTCTTCGATTTGCGAGGAAACCGAACATATCGAGCGTAATTCTTTACGGACATTGCCGACGATCTGTTCGCCGGGCTCGCTTATCGTCCAACGAGTCACGATCGTCAGCGACGAATAATACGATTTGTCAACCGTGCTCGTTATTGACGCAGTCCGTTTCTGATTTACTTGGAGAATGAGTCAGAAGCGACTGTAATGTTCAACAAAGAGTTTTACATCGTCAGAACGCGATTATATTTATCTTTAAACACACGCAACACATATGCTATTTAAAAATTTTTGTTATTGTTATAAATGCCTCGTAAACAAAATGGTTCCATCTCTTTGTTTCTTATGATAACCCCTGTATTATTTAACATATGCTAAAATAGAGATTTTTATAAAGGTTCCTGAAGTAAGAGAAATTATTGTAGGCATGTATATACGTTTATTTCTTCCTGTCGGGGTTTGATAGGCATTTTTAAGGAACATACCCAAACCTTTACAATAAATCAACATCCCCTTTCCCTGCCTGGCCATATAAGACCATACCTTTACATACTGGTATTCTTCCCTCTTCCTCCCTCGATCTTACTCGCCTAGAGCTCTTCTTCCTCTTCTTTACTAATAATTATTATTATAGGCATTCATTAATATATATTTTTAACTAACTGGTATTATGTTTGCCTCTTTGAACAAGATAGGTTTTTCCATAAGACTATTTGATAACAATAAAAGAGAATGTAACATTAATGAATTCTTTTAATATCCCAGAGGAGACTGCAGAAGGAGTTGATGTCTCTGATACGCGAGCCACCGCCAGGTGTACACGTAGATGGAGAATTGGCTGGGCAAAATTTGACGCAGTGGATCGTTCACATGGAAGGCGCTAAAGGCACGCTGTACGAGGGGGAACAATTTCAGCTGCAATTTAAATTCAGCTCCAAATACCCGTTTGATTCGCCAGAAGTGACTTTCATCGGTGGGAATATCCCTATACACCCACATGTCTACAGCAACGGTCACATTTGTTTATCCATATTGACAGAGGATTGGTCTCCTGCTCTCAGTGTGCAAAGCATTTGCCTGAGTATCGTTTCCATGCTAAGCAGCTGTAAAGAGAAGGTGCGAGATATAGCCATTAGATATTAGATGAACACTCGTGTGTCTTTATTATTCATAAATAATGCAAATACTTTTCATGCAGAAGAGACCGCCCGACAATACGTTTTATGTGAAAACTTGCAACAAGAATCCAAAAAAGACAAAATGGTGGTATCACGGTGAGAAGACTATATATTATTACGTGAAACTTTCAGAATTTTTCAAGTGTGTCTTTATCATGGGTCTGTTTTCTAATGCTGAACTGGCTGCTCTAGTTTAGAGTTTATCTTTTTTACTCTACAGTAGAAGGAAAAAGATAAACTCTGAACTAGTGCATCCAGTTCAACAATAGAAAACAGACCCCATATTAAGTTCTAGTTTTGTTATAATATTTGTAATCCAGTATGCTCTAACTAATTTATAGTTTTAGATACATAAAAGTGCAACTATTTTTAAGTTATGGGTAAAGGTTTATATATATAAAAGTGCAATTATTTTTAAGTTATGAGTAAAATAAATAATTATTGTTTTTTTTAGATGATAGTGTCTAACATTGAAAAATGTGGAAAGATTTTGTCAACTTGTCAACATTGAATTGTTGGACCAAGTGGGATAACATCCAAACCTGATGCATTAAATCAATAGAATTTTGCATACAATATTATATAGTCAAGTCAATATAACAAGAAATTAGACGCGTACTTCAAAAAAAAAAAAGACAAGGCTACAACTTACTTATTATTATTATAGAGTTAATGCAAACTGCGTGAGTTGTTTAATCATAAATTATTACAATGTTGCTGATAGTGAAGCGTATTTTAATTACATAGAATTATTATCAAAACAGTAAATTAATGCTAAAAAGAAAGGTAGATAAGAAGGTATTATTTATTATAAAGATATTAATATAAAGTTTTCTCTCTTGTTATTCCGAATTTAAGGAGATTCCTGATGTACGTTAATAAAATCATTTAATAAATTTAGAAATTATGATAAAAAATGGTAAATATATGCATACTTAATATTACAATAGCTATATACATTTAAAAAATTTATTTTCTGTTTTTAATAAAACTCAAAAGTTGAATTAATCTAATTATATATGAAAAAAAATATATTTTTTAAAATTCAATGATAAATACTACTCTATTGTGCATTAATTTTCTTTTATAATAACAAAATGCGATTAAGCGCAATATATATTTTTGCTTTTTAAATAAGCCATTTTCTTATCAAACTATATTGTTTTTAATATATTTCCGTTGCATTTATTTGTCTTTTAAGATTTTTTGAGGCTACCACTTAGATTTTATTAATACTATGTCTAATAAAGTACATATTATAGTTAAAGCAATATAGTGAGAATTGATAATAGCTCTTATATGCGTTAAACTTTTTAATATTAGCACTTACGACATAGATATGATTTTTATTAAAATATATATGAGATATTGTCATATCATGCTACATTCTTTTGATAAATTTTGAAAGCTGTAAAAGTTTCATGTAAAAATAATTCGTTAGGTGTTATATAAAATAGGATGACATTCAAGGTAATACAATGTATGAGATTAATTAATGACACTATAATATCAATAATTGGCATACGGTCTAATAATATTCCTAAATTTTCGTGTCATGTAATCTCATAATTACATGTATTAGCTAGTAAAAAAAAACTTTTTGTACATTTATTAAAAGTGTAAGTTATGACGTGATATTAAATTTCTTGATAACATTTGGTGTCTTTTTCTAGTCATTAATTTATCGCACCTTATACATAATAATTTGTCGCTGATTATATGTGTATGTGCCAAGCATATGAGAAACTAACAATTTTGAAGAAGATAACTGGTATCAAATTGGAGCATACGTAATGTGACAACAATAAAATAATTTATTAAAAATATATTTTGTGCAATAATTGCTTCACATTATATCACATTGTAGCGATATTTCATATTTTCTTTCGCTCTATTGGAATATCATCATATATTTATTTTTTCAAAAATTGTTAATTGATTAATCATATGTGTTTCTGAAAAATCTATTTTGTACACTAGTGATTTTTTAAATATGTAATCTCTATAATGAATTATTGTTTTTATCTTTAACTATAAATACATTTGTTAATAATCGAGTAATAAAACATATTGAAGCATATGATTGAACTATCAAGAGATAAATCTTTATTTTACATTTATTTGAAAAGAAGAACAATTCTGATCTTAATCTTATAATAATATTAATTTTATAATTACAGATCAATATTGATATTAATATCAATCTATATTATAACATGTAACAAGGACGAAAACTAACAGATTATTATGGTTATTCGAGTAATTTGTTATGTGAAGAGACATAATTGATATTAATGTAAAAAAGAAGACTGATGTTAATATTTTATATAATAAGTGATTGGATTCGTGTGCTATATCAAACTCTTTCTTACAATTATCTTTAGTTTTATCTTATTCGTTTTTATCGAGTCTTCGCTAAATGCTAAAATCAGTATACCTACTTGCGAGATATATATATATATATTCCGAGAAACGACTTTACTTGTGTTCTATAATAGTTATCGGTTATCGCGATTACATTCTCAGAAGTCATCGCAGGAGGTAAACCTCGATTACACTTGTATACTTACATACATATGTAATAATTTTTAACAAAGTATATAAAGCATGCATAAATATACCTTTAACCGTTATTACACATATATGTAAAATATATATACATACGATATCGAAATGCAAGTATGTTTTAATCTCTACTCAATAGCTTCCAAGTCGAAATCACTATAAGTTTTTTGGATTCCGTACATAAATAACTATCTTATAAGTAAATAGAACGAACATATTATTTATCTATGGTTTAAAAATTTTTTCCAGTTTCTAAAATCAATTTTCCCGAAAAGGAAACTTATTTTACGCTTTCGATTTATATTTTTTAGTTATATTATTTATATTTTTGGTCATATCATCTTTATACATATATCTTCTATAATTAAACAATACATTTGAACTCGATGCTGATATAATCGGTTATGATATTAAAGTTTCTATCTAACAAATGCAATATATATAGCATAAAGGAAGACAATCTAATTTAGGAATTATTTTCTAACATATGTTTTTTACCCATGTACCTTATACACATGTAGTATATCTTTATTAATATTGCGAACCGATTGTCAGCAAGTTTTTAATCATATGCTTTTATTTATTTTATTTTATTTACTACAATTATTCCGAAAATTCGTGTAGGATCAATACTCTGTATTATTATTGAATATATAATGATTTATTTTTATTCAATAATACTATATATTATTAAATAATCGAAATTATATTATTTCGTAGTAAAACATTGATACCTCCGCATATTGAATACGTTCATTGTTCATTGTATCTAGAAGAATCTTGTATTATCTGGTTAATGCTGCTAAATTTTTTCAAAGATATGAAAAATTGTCTCTTAATTAAAACATTATCTTTTTAAATTATTGGTTTTAAGATATATAATTATACATATAACTTGCATGATTATAAGTTTGTTTCTGTATAGAAAGACTTTATCTACGAGAGCTCAAAATTTTTTTTAACCCTAGAGAGTCTTTCTGGGGTAATACATTACCCCACGCGAAATTCAAATTGCGCCCCTGCCTTAGGAAGGTTAGTTTTCATACCGAGACCCTAACCATAATTCAGTTTAGTCATCCAGCAGTCGACCTCCGTCATTCAGCGAGTGCGTTAGACCCGTGCAGCAGCTGAAAACCGAAAAAGAAAATCGTTTGGGGTAACGTATTACCCCCTTTGGCCGTTTACGTTCGACATTTACTACAGTAAAGTATATTTCAGATTTTTTACGGAAAATTCTACCCCTGTTTCATATATAATTGTTTAAGATTCGGTCAATTATTTCATTTTTGCTGTTCTTGCACAGTAACTGATTAAAACTTTGTAAAGTTTTTGTGGAGTTAATTTTACTGTTTCCATATACTTTTATAACTTTTGACTACCTTTCAAATAAATAATAATCGACAGAATCTGTTTTACTTTCCATTTCTTGCGATTTTTCCCATTCGACAGTTTTTCATCATTTCCTCTACTAGTTCAGATGTTCAAAGAAATATGTTTTTTTTAAGAAACGAAAAAATCGCTTACATGCCCTTGAAGGTTGTCTATTCGTCTTTCAAAATCCGTTGAAATTTTTAAAATCGGTGATATTTATGAAAAACTACAGCATTTTTTATAAAAATAGTCATTTCAGCCCAATTTTTGGTTCTTTTTCTTGTTTTCCGAAATTTTTTTTACTGTTTTTTTTTACTACTGTAAATTGATATGACTACTATCGTCTTCCCTATTAAAGAACAAACAAAATTATCTATTAAAAAGTTGTCTAACAACAAATAGAAACATTATACACGCGGTACAAGTTTGGGGTAATTTATTACCCCGCTTGGCCTTTCACGTATGAGAAAACTCATAAAGACTTTCTAGGGTTAAATACCCTGCCTCTTATAGGCAAATATCGTGATATAATTATTAGCGCTAATTATTTTCCTTAAATTACAAAAAATGATATAATAGAAATAATATAGATGTTTCGTGCATGCAACTGGTGTTATAGAAATCTCAGGTCATCGAAATGAAGTTCATTCGATTCCACGGAAAAGATTAAAAACCGTCTGAACAACGTTATCGCACACACATGCATGCCGCAGCTATGTGGTTAACAGTTGTGGTTGAGGGAAAGAGGCAAAGAGTGGGGCCAACGATTTCTGAGCCCATTCGACAAGAAAACGCAACAGTAGTCTGTTCTGTGTCGGATTGAACGGAGCTAATGTCGAGATTTATTACTCGTGCTTTGATTCTATCGGTAGTTTGTCAATGGTCGCGTTCAGCAGACCAAGCCGCTCAGTAGCAATCGAACGTGATTGGCTCTTACTTTTAGAACCAACCAATCAATGCAGAGTGTTGATAAGACGAACTCAACAGTTGTGCAACAGTTGTGTCTGCTGAACCGCGCCCAATGAGTACTGGACAATCGTAAAATTCACAGTTTTCGATAAAAACGAGCGTCGCGCACTTCCGGAATATATATACACAACATATTTTCAGATCGCTTTAAATTTACGGTAGCTTTATTTTAATTCGTAGCAATTATGATATAGGCCGGTATTCATAGTTATTTAAGACCGTCTGAAGTTCAATCTTAAGATGTCATGAACCAATCAGAGCCGTATGCCGTATTAGCGTCTTATTAAAACATTACTTAAGACGATCTTGAAGACTATGAATACCGGCCATAGATTGAGATGCGACCGCGGTGACCGCGGTGCCACCCATTAGTATCAGCACAGGGGGATATCCAAGGTGTTTTATTATTCAAATTAAATATATCTATTTTGCACGTCAGTTCACGCGCGTTCTCCGTATTTCTGTTCCTTTTCTCGCTTCGCTTCTCGCGAGAACGAACGCTGATTTCATCTCTAATGCCCTAATTCGCCCAACGTACGCGGACTAGCTCGGACGTGTTTCGCGTGTAGACACGGACGACACATTTTAACGTGTTCGGACGTGTTCCACCCAAACGAAAAAATTGTTTAAAGTATTGCGACTGATACTGTCTGCTTGCAATTGCCTTTTGGACTTCGCCACTCAACCTGATTCAGACTTTGTTAACAAACAGGGGCAAATGCTGACCATATTGACCTCGTATTAGAGGCAGGAGCCAATACAAATATAAGAAGAAGAAGAAGAAGAAGATCTCTAATGCCCGTTCTAGACTGGAGGATTATCCTACTCGCG